TTAATAAAATAACGATTACTAATTGTACTTTCATTCGTTGCATTCAGGTTATTTTTTGCCATCTCTTTCATTTGCGTCTTATTTGGCACCGTATTTTTTGTTGAAAAAATTTATGAAAAATGGAATTCTACGCCCATGTTGGTGAGCATAAATCCAAAATTTACTGAAATCACAAGTGAACCGTTTCCTGCAGTCACCATTTGCAATCTCAATCAGGCTTACAGAGCAAAGGCGGAACGATTTTCGGTGTAAGTGTATTCGGTATATTATATAGTACATTTGACAATATATATATATATAGTTAGATGTTGATTTTTGCTCTTTTTGTGCTTTGGTTTTGCACAGCAACTCGCTGAATTATACCATCATACAAATGATCTGTAATCGTGAGGTCAACGTTAGTGTTGCTGCAGAAATTACGGATTGGAGTAATTTGAAGGAATTCATTTTTGATGTAAGTAATGAAATATTCCTAGTTATTTGATGAATAGCGACATTAGATAAATATGTATGTATACAAATATAAAAAATATTGATGTCTTATAATGTACATTGTAATATCTTATGTGTTTACATAATAAAAGTGACGATAATTCGAGAACTTCATTACATCTGCCAAAGTAGGCATTTATAAATCAAAAATTTTTTTTTGGTTGTTGCTATAAACATTCAAATGGCTTTTGTTTGTATGTTCTACACTCCTATATGCAATTTTCTAGAACTGAGATTATTTATAATTACGGTGACTATATTAACCAACGTAAATAAAGGACATATTTTTTTGGGAATACAACTTGTATGATAAAAGTACATTGCCTTGGTGAAAATTTTTTTTATAATATTTCAAAATTTTTTTTGTGTATTTTTTTGTTTTGGGAGAACCATACAATTGTTTTCAACTAGTAGTTTTTGTTATGTATTATGTTTTGATATTTTATATAAAAATATCGTCTAAACTTTAACCAGAACCGTGTAAATCACAGTTTCAAACTTTATACAAAATTTAGGAAAATTCAAAAAATATTCATAAAATTTTCAACTTTTTATTCTAATTTTTGGGTATGCAGTTTTTATAGCCCATACAGTTTTAGTCTAATGAAGTGCAAGTTTCAAACGGCTAAAAAATTGAATTGTGTTTTGAGAATTTTTTTTTAGGCTACTTTTTCGGGTTTTTATTATAACAAGCGCAATTTACAAAAACTTGCGTTGATATTTTGAAATTTCGTTGCTGACGGTCTCCCGCGTTTTATTTCGTAAGAAATTCATACTTATGTGAAAAAAGTTCAAAAATCCGCCCGTCTTCTAAAAATTCAGAATAAAAAGTTGAAATTTTGATAAAAATTTTGTTGAATTTTTTTAAATTTTGTATAAAGTTTGAAGCTGTGATTTACACGGTTTTGGTTAAAGCTTAGACGAAATTTTATACAAAAATAATAAAAAAAATTAGCTCCAAAAAAATTACAAATATTTGAAGAAAATCAACACGTGGTCATTTGTTTGAGTCACTGTGTATTTGGTATTTGGCATTGAGTGTTTAATGTTTAGTATTTTGCACTTTGCGTTTTATAGTTTTAAAAAGGTTTTTCTTCTATTAAATTCCATATTTATCAAAAAAGGCCGCCATCGTGGCTGATTGTATTTAAAATATCAATTTAAATCAATGAATTAATGCTACAAAGCCTTATTTTTTTATTAAATAGATTTCCCAACCTTGCTCTAATATGATATTGCGATGCAATTATGGAGGAAAAGTGTTTAATTGCACTGAAATATTTCGACCAATCATTACGGACAATGGACTTTGTTGCACCTTCAATATGGTGGATCCCAAATTTATGTA